AAATTTTTTCATCTTGTGAATAATGCTAGATCAAGGTCACAGAAAAAAAGAAAAATCATCAAACCGGTTATAGTAAGTTCATACTTGTAGTATTTATTTCTTCATTTATATGACTCAGCAAATAATTTTGAATACTTGAAATATCTAATTTAAATTAGTTGTGTACTGATCAAGATTACTCTCTAGAAAGTACATACACATTAGACTAAGAAATTTAAAAGTGGTGTCCCATAAAGAAATGCTTCCCAGTTCAGAGTAGAAAGGTTCTTAAAGCTTTGGAGATGAGCTGATTTTTGAACTTGACTTTAAAATATACTTAGAGCTTGGATATAAAAGTATTGTAAAAAGAAAACACATATGTAAAATAAAATGATCATATTTCATTTCTGCTTTAATCTCTGTTGGTAGAAAGATCTGAGAACATTTAACCTCTCCCATCCTCAATAAACTTGTGCAAAACAGTCATTCCTAAGGGCTGCCTCAAAGGGGAATTACAAAGCTCAATAAGTAAAAACACCGTGCAAACCACAAATCACTGAGCAAAGTGAGATTTTTTAAACTGCTTTTTAAAACTTCAGACAGCAGATGCTCAGAAAATGAATGCTAAAAGAACAGCATAGACAAAGACACGTCTTCAAGGGGGAGAGACATAGGCAAAGAATAGCAATTAACTGGGTTTGGCTGAACAATACAGTGTGTGAAGAACAGGTAGAGGCAAGAAGGTTTATTTGGAATCTTCAATGGCATGCCAGAGATTAGACTTAATTTGGTAGGCAGATATCATTGGGACGTTTTTGAGTCTATAGCTCATGAGGATTAATTTTGCAGTACCCTTCAGGGTGGATGTGAAGAGATGCTTTTTAGTCAAGTACTATTGTAAGTGGAGAGATAATAAAGGCCTGAAATACATGAATGGGTGTGGGAATGAAAGGGCTGATGGGAGGGATATTTTAGAGTAGACTCAATGGAACGCGGAAGAGTTTGAAAGGAAAGGAAAGAATCAAAAGTTACTAGAACATTTGCGTAGAGGTGACATGGCTAATGAAGGTGTCATCAACAGAAATTGGACACATTGTACAAAATAGGTTTGAGAAAGAAAACATCGTTCATGTTTCTAGCAGAGGTGATGTCCAAGGAGAGATGTCTAACAGGCAATTGCAGCGTTAGACCTGGAGTTTTGGTCAGAACTGTACATTTCAGTGTAAAACGTTCCCCATTAACAAAATCATGATGAATCTTTGCTGGGTGGAAGAAATGTGAATGAGTAACAGAATGTTAGGGAATCATTTAGGGGTGGTGGGAAGTTGTAGGAAGAAGTCAATAGAGGAGTCATGAAGAATCCAAGAAAGCAGCAGTTGTCATAAGCATGACATAAGTGAATTATTCACAATAAGTTAAAAATATTGGAAATAATACTTTACAAGTTGAGGTTGTGTATTTGACATTAAGACCTGTAATTAAATCAATATCTTTCTAGAAGGAAGCCAGTAATCAAAACATTTGCTTTCATTCATGAGCTAATTGTCAGTAAGTAATCAGATTCCATCCATATTTTCCCCATATTATCTATTAGGCAGTGACTGATACTGAACTGACTCTTATGAAAGCAAGATGAAACAAAAATACTCCAGCCCGGTCAGCATGGCTCAGTGGTTGAGCATCAACCTGCGAACCAGGAGGTCACGGTTCAATTTCTGGTCAGGGCATATGCCCTGCTGGTGGGCTCCATCCCCAGTGTGGGGCATGCAGGAGGCAGCCAAGCAATGATTCTTTCCCATCATTGATGTTCCTATCTCTCTCTTCCTCTCCATTAATTTTTTTAATTTAAAAAATAAAAATACTCCTCCTAATTCACAAATGTCACCATGGGTGTTAAGATCTATTTCTAAGTGCATCAGAGACCTAAGAGAGGAGTATGCTTTCTAATTTGTGCTCACTACCCTCTAAACAGAAAAAATTGTCCTTTGATTTGGTGTTAAAACTACTGTTTGTCTGCCTGACCTAACACCATTGGTGATAAGATATTTTCAACTACTGATGAGTCTGTTGAAAAAGAGGTTCCCTGTTGAGTACTTCACTATCCCTACCCGAATTGATTCTTTACCCCTCTTTTGCCATGCACCACCCCCTTCTACCAATAGTCCAAAGGTGGGAACACAAATTTTAGTAGTCAGTGATCTACCCTCAACACTAATTAACATGAGCAAGCAATCAAAAAGATTAAAAACTGATGAGAGAGATGGGTGATATAAGGTGAGATCGTTTTAGACTTTTGAGGACCCTTGGTTGTAGTCATGAATCTGGAAACTATATATAAGTTAACTTAAAAATCATCCTTTGCGGTATCATGTAGAAAACCATGATATTTCTGAAAGAGTGAGATTAAGAAGCAAGGTCCAAACAGATAAGTTACAAACTGTTCATGCTTTTAACCTGAGATTTATGTGAAGGAGAAATCGTGATATCAGTTAGCTAAATACTTTTGGAAAGATAATTTAGTTAAAATGTTTTTGTTAGTAAACATTTTTAATTTACAAGACTATGAAAATGTATTCTCCTACAAACATGTATGTTTGAACATGCATGTGAGTGCTTTGTTGGGTTGAGAGAGGGGCTGCCATGTATAGGACAGTACCCATATATGCATCCATTACTCTGGGCTCACAGTGAGAGAGTTGTTCTAAATAGAATCTAAGACAAAAATGCAATAGGACTTCAGGACTTGAGAGAGTTTAGTGTATACTACCGCTTCTGTGCATTTTCAAAAGTCAGTTCTGATTTTCATGGTACCCTATGACAGTGATACAACTTTAAGAATATCTGTAGAAGCCAGTATTATTTCATATGAAAGGTCAGATTATAGAATTTGGGGACAGCTAAGAAGGAAGAAAAACTATTTTAGTAAATGTGAGTGGAGGCAACATGAATGGACCAGATAAAAACAATCAATTTAGGCAGATAACATTTGACAAGGTGTTTTTGATTATTTTTAGTTAACTATAACTCTCTCTGTGGGAAACATAAAATGTTGAATCAGCTGCTTAATACTGTAGGAAATATCAAAGACTGAAATTGAGAGATCTTGATTTTAACTCCAACTCTGTGGCTTGGGGAAGTAACTTAACTTCTCTGGGGTTTATTCATTCTTATTTATCTATTTTTTTTAATTCTACAGACATTCAACAAGCCAGTACTATGGCCTCCTCCTAATAATTCTCTTCCATAGATGAAAAAATGTCACTAAGGATCTCTGAAGCTCTAATATGTATCATTGAATAGTAATGACTACTTAATGAGGGACTTCATAAAAAAGACAACTATGAGCTACTTTTGAAGGATTGGAGGAATATAGTTTAAATTATGGGGCATGAGGGGAGTTGTTGATTTGGACCAGAAAATGAGCAGGTCCAAAACCATGGGCCATCCTAAGCCCTCACCAAGAAGAGCCAGATTCTAGAACAGCGGTTCTCAACCTGTGGGACGCGACCCCTTTGGGGGTCGAACAACCCTAAGACCGTTGGAAAACACATATATAATTACATATTGTTTTGTGATTAATCACTATGCTTTAATTATGTTCAATTTGTAACAATGAAATTGGGGATCACCACAACATGAGGAACTGTGTTAAAGGGTCGAGGCATTAGGAAGGTTGAGAACCACTGTTCTAGAATATCTAGGACTGAATCTGAAGATGAAGCAGAGTAAGAGCTGGAAAGGTCTGAAGGGGTGATACTGACTAATAAGAGACCTCATGGTGAAGATGGTAAACCTACCACAGGCAGGTACCTCTTCCGTCACAACGTCAGTTTCAGACGGAAACAACTAAATTGGTAAAATGACTGGAGAGCATTAGTAGAAAATGATTTCATTACCAAAAGGAAAAAAAAATCTGTGACTAAGTTATTTAATTAACTTTTACAATATTTCCATGTCATGATAACATTTGCAGACAGGTAATTACTAGGCATTCTGACACCATGTGGAATTTTTTTTTTAATGAAACCGAGAAAGATAACATTATTCATTTTATTTATTAGTTCCAAAATGTAACTTTAACCACATCCCTTCATTGCTTTTCTTTTTTCCCATTTTTTCGTTTATTCTCTCTCTTGTTGTATGAAGCAAGAACTGCATAAAATCTCCAACGTCCCTCAGAATGAAAAAACAGCTGCTTCTATAAACGCCATGAAATATTCCCCATCATTCCCCATAAGTTTGAAAATGCCAGAGAAATGTTCAATGAAATCCACTATACTCCTCTTATACAACACATTTGATCTCTGGATACGTTAAGAGCTTCATCCTCCAATGCTTTTAATTCTAAGCCTTGCAGAAACAAAATTCATTGCTTGAATTACAAGAGTGAGTCTCATTAAGGCTAAAAAGCAGTGACCCAGATAGCATAATGGATTAATATGGTGACCTTGCAACTTTAGAGAATCACTTTCAAATCTGACTGTGTCGTCAAATCATTTCAATAGTCAGTTAATCAATTGGTTAATACCAATCTGTGAGCGTTCTTAGTCTGGAAGTTAGTAGATCATTTTGGCCAACACTAGCTATATAGAATTAAACTGAGAACAACAGCATGCTTAACTCCCAGACCTTTCTTAAATAATCACAATAAAAAAGGATTTCATGAATTGCTGTGAATGCTGTAATCACTAATTATATAGTGCTGACACTCTAATAAGCATCAATATTTTGAAACTTATACCATAAATATTTTTAATGATGTTTACGTTTCATCAGCAAATAAGGACTATAAATATAATTAATAGGCTCTTTGGTAATGAACTGTGATGTTGATTGAACTCTCAAATTCTATGGTAACAGCACCTTTAGGGTGAAACATACTGTTAGAGGAGTGGGGGAGGGGATGGAAATGTGTATAGTTCAGCAGGACATCTTCCAGAATTTTTAAAGTCTAAGGAATATTTTTTTTAATTTACTCAGAAACATGTTTGTGAAAATTATTCCTATCCATTTTCTTGTAGATGCAAGATATACGGAACCCAGAAGGAGCTCAATATAGCTCCCATCCTCAGATGGCAGCCATGAGACCCAGGGGTCAGCCTGCAGACATCCGGCAGCAGCCAGGAATGATGCAGCATGGCCAGCTGACCACCATCAACCAGTCCCAGCTGAGTGCTCAGCTTGGGTTGAATATGGGAGGAAGCAGTGTCCCCCACAACTCACCATCTCCACCTGGAAGCAAGTCTGCAACTCCTTCCCCATCCAGTTCAGTACATGAAGATGAAGGCGATGAGTCATCTAAGGTAGGACTACATTATTTATAGGACCTATAGGAAATGCTTGTTGCCTGAAAAGGTTTTCCTTGGAGCCTTCCTTGACCTGTAGTGGGTGCAAGTTTATGTCATCCAACTTAAACATTGATGGGGGACATACTTTTATTATGAAGCATGAGGTTATAAACTGAGTGAATTGAATCACCTTGTCCAATTACATTTTTAAGTCCCTAATAAATCCTTTGAATTTTCATGTATTAAGCATAAAAATAAGTTGCACCCACAAAATACAGGTTCTTCACAGTGAGTAAGCTGAATTTGCCACTCATTCAAAAAAGTCAATTTCAATTTAACCATTTTATTTTAAGAAGACCAAGATGGTGGTGGTGGTGGTGGTGGTGGTGGTGGTGGTGGTGGTGGTGTGTGTGTTTAATAGATAAAACTGTTGAGATCATCTGACCCAGTCATTTCATATTGAGGATCAGGAATGTAAGGGGCAAGGAAATTAATGACCCCCTTCCAAAGGAAAAGCTGGGCAATTCATTGCTTACCTGTTATTAGTCCCATGCCACTAAGTTTGTTTGACTATCTGCCTATCTGTCTTTGTCACATTAAGTTATCTGTATAGGAAGATGTGTCTTTAAATGTCCTTAGATTGCAGAATTCAAGGCAGCTTTTTCAAATGACTTCACCAAAAGCAAGTGCATTCTCCTTCAAAAACCAAAATTATCTCTTTATTGTCTTCCTTCTCAGCAGGCATCTTTAGGATTTGTCCAAGTGAGGACTCTTGTGCCTAATTACTATGAAAAACACTCACATGGACATGTGTACTTCTAGTTCCTTCTCTTTTTAAAATATTACTAATGAGTTGTCACTTGTGTCAGCCCTTAGATTTCTTTTCACTTTTGCAAGAATTTTGCTTTTGGGAAATGAAACTTGTCAACATGTTACCAAAGGCAGCGCTATGGGATTCTGATCTACTGTATATGGTTAATGTAAACTAATTTTTAAAAATCCAGATAAATAGTGACTCATAGATTTATTTAGCCTGATAACAAATGCAAGGCTGCTATATTGGCTACATTTTATTATTTTTGGTGTTCCTAATGCTCTGGCATTTTTGGAGCCTTAATCTTGGAAAGACTGCCCCTCCCAGGCTATCTATTTCCTAGAGGTGGTGAATGATGCCCCAGTAAGCCCACCTTTGATAAACAAACCAAGCAATCCAGAGCCCACATCCCAACTGTCTTCTTTATCAAATTCTCACATAATTTTCTTAAGAAAATGTGTATCGTTCTGATGGTATTCAACAGCCAATGAATATTTGGACATTAAGAATTTGGGGCCAGTTATTTAAATGTTAGATTATGCATGAATAATTCAAGTTAAATTCTTAAACATAGGTGATATGTACTATACTTCAAGGGGAAAAGTACAATATATTCTACTCACTCTGGCTGAGTGGCTCAGTTGGTTATAGTATTGTCCTGTATACCAAAAGGCCAGGGTACATACAGAAGGCAACAGATTGATGTTTCTTTCTCACATTGATATTTCTCTCTCTCTCTCTCTCTCTCTCTCTCTCTCTCCCTTTCTCTCTAAAGTCAATAAAAAATCCTTTGGTTAGGAGATATATATATATATATCATAGTAAAGATTATTTATACATCTGGGCTATATATTTTTAAGTATTTGTTGCTAGAATTTCAGAAAATTGATGTAAAATTAGTAGCATCTTTTGACAGTAAAGTTTATGCAGGATTATTCTTATTTACATAACACTTTCCACACTCTTCAACCTAAATTAGTAGACGTCTGAGTAGAAACCAGAAATTCCTGGAATTACATTCACAGATTCTGCCATTTTCTATTGGCCCATAAGGTCCATATCTTATCATTTTGCTGAGACATCAATTTGTATGTTATGAGCTTCCAAGCTGGTGTGAGAGTTTGCCAGTGAATAACCTATATCCAACCACTCAACATCAACCTCTCAAAATGATTTGTAGCTCACTATTAATGATTGTGTAGTATTTTATGGTAGAACCTATATTCTATAGGGGTATATTCTTGAATTAGTGATGTGTGAAGGCTTAGGGATAGATTTTTCAAGAAAGCCCTCATCAAAAATGGCTTTTTGTCTCTAGAAATATTTCTAAGCTCATGTTTAGTTTACGTGTATTTTCTATCTGAAGAATACCCACCCTCCCATTCCAAGGTTACATACTGTTCTTCACCTTCATTCTAATGCAAAATCCTCCTTACCATTTAATCAACTTATATTTATTAAATGGCTAAAAACAGTCCTCTGACAAAAATGTTCAAGCATTCTTCATCACAGTTAAAGATTAAACTGGGCTTTATATGTGAGCAGGATTTATGTGGAGTGTTCTATTGAAATAGCTCCATTTAAATGTGAAATAGCGTTAAGTCAAAACGATCATTTAAGTCATTTCTAACAAGAGAATTAAAAAAGAATATTTACTCTCACTGCAGCAAAAGAAGCCTTTAAAGCTTCCCTCTTAACACTTTATGCTCTCTTAAGCAATTACATATTAATTCCCATTTATCTAATTGAACAATTAAATGAAATATGTTTGTTTTGACAGAGAAATACTGTAAATATATCAGTAAAACAAATTATCACCTTATAAATACTACCCACAGTTCTGATGGCTATGGAGCTGTGTTGACAGCCTAAAGTCATAAACTAGACATACAGTAAAACATCAAAGACATATAAACTTGGGTAGCTTGTGGTTCTAAGCCTGTAATCCAGCACTTGTAATACAGTAGACACTTTAAGACACAAAGTCTCTGGCATTACAAGTATATTTATAGCACAGTATTTTCTTTAAGGAAATTATAGGCTAAGAATCACAATTTATATTTTTCCATCCTTTTACTTTCAACTTTTCTGCTTAAAATATCCTTAAGTTTTGTATGTGTCTCTTGTAAATAGCATATGGTTAGATAATCTTTACTTTTAAATGAAACTGACTTACATTAACATCAGTACTAAATATTTTGGTTTATTTCTCCATTTAAGTATGTTGTTTTCTATTTATCCCCATATGTCCTATGTTTCTTTTTTTTCTTACCTTCTTTAAATTTGTTTTTATTTTGCTCATTCCATAATTTCCATTTTAATATTGGAAATTTTATACTTTTTCTGTTCACTTAGTAGCTACCCCTGTAACACAAATGCATAAAAGTCTTACATTGATCGATATCTTTACCCTTCTTATTTATTTTAATTCCAAATCATGCTGGAGCAGTTATTGCTGTTGTTTAGTTTAATGATAATTTAATTAACTTCTATAATTTAGTATACTTCACAGAACATTATTTATTATTTTTAGTCTTTTTTCTTCAGATTTATTCACATATTTAATATTTTTTCATCTGGCATCATTTTCTCTATCCCTTTAAAATTTTATCACATGAGAATCTGTTGAGAATATAACTACCTTAAAAAGTACTTTCACCAGATATAGAACTTTAGTTTGATAGTGATTCTCTTTATGAAGATATTATGTTACTTCATTGAATCCTGATTTTCATTATTGCTTTTGAAAATTCTCCTACATCACTGTCTTTCCTTTGAAAGTAATCTGTCTTTCATCTCTGACTAGTTTTAAGATCTTCTCTTGCCTTTGTTGTCCTTTGGTTTTACTATGATATATGTGGGTTTCTTTAAATTTATCCTGAATTTAAATATTTCTATTTTCTATCAATTCTAAGAAATTTTCAGACATTATTGTTTTTCACATATTTCCTCTTGTGATTTTGCTCCATTCTCATCCTGTAATTCTGATAAGATATATGCTAGACTTTCTCATTCTATTCTCTATGACTTGTTGCTTTTACATTTTGCATTTCCTTGCCCCTCTGTATTTATTCTGATTGATTTATTTAAATCAATTCCCAGTTCATAATTTTTTTTCAGCAATACCTAATCTAAAACTAAAGCTGATCTACTGAAGTTTTCATTTCAATTATTTTATATTTCTGGTTTTATTTGGTTTCTTTCTCAAATATGTTTTGACTTTTTTACTTGCTTGCTTTTTATCTATATACTTAATCTCTTTTGTCCCTTTAAGCATTTGCTAATTCCTATATATGAAGTCTTTTGGGGTCTGATTCTACTCTCTGTTATTGCTGTTGGCTCTTAGTTTTAATGCCTTGTTTTATATTGCTTTTTGGCTTTTGAAATGAGAGCTGATATTAATTATGACTTTATGAGACTTCTATTAGACTTTATTTGAAAGTGAATTCCTCTAAAGATGATTTCTGTTTGCTTCTCCCAAGCATCTTAAACCATTATAATCTAGAATGACACTTGCCTTAAAGTTCTTCAAATCACCTTATTTGGGTAAATTGTTATAAATGCTGGCATTCAGGATATAAATTGATACAAATGCTGGCTTCTGTTTGTGGATTATCACAAGAGATATGTTTCCCCTGTCCGTTCAGTATCATCCTTGCAGCTCCTGGGTGGGCACATACAAGAGAAATCATTTTATGTCCCCCTTACATTGACACTGTAATTCTCTTCTGTCCTTACTTTAATAGGAAGACTTCTGCTAAACATCCAACTTCTGGTAAACAATGAGCTTTGTCTTCTATCTACTGTGCCTTTAACTCAATTTCACCAGGCTTAGCAACTATCTTCAAGATGAAAGCTGGCTTCGGTATTTTGCTTATTTCTCTGGGTTCCTGCTTTCATTCACTATTTGCATTTAAGAGAGTCTTATTAATTTGCTAGTTTCTCAGTGCATGTGCTTTTCCATAGTAACAGAAAGAGAAGTGGTTGTTGTTTTTTGTGGGGTTTTTTTTTCTCAAAGGCAATAGGATAAGTCACCAGAGCAACAATTACATAAGCCTTTAGAAAAGGACTTCTTATTTACCACTGTTCTAAAGGCAAGAAGATTCTTGGAATAAAGTAAAAATTATAAGCAGACGGGTTTCTATAAACAATGAAATCAAACAATGTTAGAGCTAGATGTCAAGTCACATTATCTAACAAT